TGACAAAAAGAAAAAAGACGCACATTATGCAGAAGCTTTGGACAAATGAGCACCAGTGAATTTGCTTTTGATCTTTACTGTCTAATTGAATACAAGGACAAGCAATCTGTCTACTAATGAGTAAATTTTATTTGGGTTGCTAGGGTTTCCCCCCCCCCCCCCCTTCGGAATAACCCAATTGCAGTTGTATTTGTGCAAGTTGACCACATTTGAACCCTGTGGTTTTTTGTTTTTTTTTAAGGTGGAAATAGCAGCGGACCAGAATTCGTGGTGAATCAGTTCCCAAGAAGCAAATGCGCCAACGTAATGGCAGAAAAACATAAAGTGGACACTTTTTCTTCTTCTAGTTTTCCCAAAACCTGTCAGAAATGGTAGGTACAATTTGTAATTAACATATTCTGGGAGTTTCTCAGTCTTAAATGTCCAAAATAAGGATAGTCATCAAGAATTGCTTTCTTTGTGTTAGGCACCTTGATGCTTTGTTTAGAGGCTGGGACCCATGAGCTGATGGTAATGATTCCCCCCCACTTCCATTGGTTAACCCAGGGGTTGGCAACTTTAAACACTCAAAGAACCACAAAGGTCCTAACTGAAAGCCCCCCCCCCCCTTCAATTCTGAAGCCAACCGGAAGTCCGGTTCCCCCACCATAGAGTCTCCTCCTAGTGCGGCATCCTTTTTCCTCTACCTGTCCTAACCGAAAAGCCCTATCAATTGTGGAACTGACCAGTGACAAGGAGCTGCAGCAGAGGGACGAAAGAGGCACATGCGGCTCAAGAGCCACATGCGGCTCCAGAACCGCAGGTTGCTTGACCCCTGGGTTAACCTAATAAGAATTAAAAATGTAAAGTGCACACATCAGCAACATGCTTCCATTATGGGATGTTGAAGTTTGATCCTTAAATTTCATTTCAGAAATTGCTGGCGGTCTGTATACCTTGAAAGCTGGATATTTACATGCTAATTGAAGGGTTTTTTTGCCTTGGTTTTAACCAAAAACGTATGTGCCGAAGTGTGCCTCTGAACATTGGCAGGGAGATCTTTTCCCAGAGTTGACTTCAATTATCATTTATATTTTTAGAATGACAGGGACAATCTAGGTCAGTAGGCATTGCCTCCCTCATGATGGAAATGTTAATTACAAGAGTAAAGAAGGAACGTGTGTGAAGTTCCCTTCCTGAGCCAAAACTTTGTGATTCACGAAAGGAACATTTCTGAGCATTGTAGAACACTGGGAAACTCAGGCCTGTTACTAGTTCAGACAATTTATCTCTGGACGTTGCCTGGTCTGGAGGAAGCTCAGCATGGCTTGAGGAGGAAAAAAAACTTTACTGGAGTTCTCCAAAACCTTCCTAAATCTGTGAGTTTTGCTTATAGAGAAGTATTATTCCTCCAATTAAGTTTTCATGGTCCTCAGTGATTACTGCATTCTCGGGCTGTACATAGCTGGGCTGGGAATCAAGTCATTTGTGTAGTACTCTTGGTTTAAAATATCCTGTGATCTACTTTTAAAGGTGTTGAATAGGGTGGTCTTGGCATATAAATTGGGATATGCCGTGACCTTCTGGTTCTCTGCTAACTCTGAATTAGAAAGGAACAACACTGCAGGGACTGAAAATGTTTAGCTCAAATTGTAAATGACCAGTGACTGGCTATTCTCATCTAAGGCTCTCCACAGAATCCATCCATTGCCCCCGTGATCTTTTGGGGCGAGAGTGTTGTGGAGCAGTGAGTCAGAGGAACAGCTGGAGCCTGTTCCCAGTGCGCGCAGGCGCAGAGCTGCCAGAAGAAAAGAACAGCTCAGAAATCAGGGTCGACTTGGGAGTAAAACCACAGGTGGGCGTTGAATGACCCCTCCCGTAGTAAATAAAAGAGGAGTGAAAGGGGAGTGGGCTTTGCAGGAAACAATTCATTTGTTAGTTTGTTTTAGAAGTGTGGAGATCTGTCCGTGAATCTCAGAGACTCTGTGCCAAATCTTTCCTTGCACAGCACTGCATTTGGAAAATATTTTCATGGCAGCTTTCCAAGATAGACAAGGTCTGTGGTCATAAATTCACCTTTAAAAGACTGTTCACCAGGCCTTTGCTGAATGTGAATGAGAGGAATTCACATTCGTTTAATAAAAGGGTTTTTTGTCAGGACCAGGAATCTGCTTCATGCTTTTTGGGGAAGCCTGAGTCAGAACAGATAGACTGGGTCATGTGTTGCTTTAAACCTTAGCAAGTTGTGGTTTCAAATCATGGCTTATGGCTTAAGCATTTTGTGCAAAGATAAACATTTATTCAGGGAAGGAAGGCTATTAAATTATGGCTGTATCAAAGAGTGATAAGGAGAGAATGTGTCTTTATGGATTGTCTCAGAGGCCTTCTCTAGCGCTGACAGTGGCATCTTCTGGACCCCTGGAACGATGGTGGTTTGGGGGGACATGAAACTGTTACTTTCGGAGTGGTCCTTTCTAGTGGGTGTATGCAGATAAGACTTGCTGCACCTGTGATTACTCCAGCGTCTGATGCATTTTTGGAAATCTTCCAGGACTCTCAGTCCCTGCTAGAGCAAAAGGTGTTCACCATGGCTTCTTGGGGTGCCCAACTCTGGCTAGGGTGCCAGTTGCATATCATTTTACTTTAAGATGCCACAACAGTAGTGACTCATCCTCAACAATGTATGGATAGACCACTACAACTAAACATTACAAGTTGACCTGCCCTTGATGATTTGGAAGCTTCAGGTGATACTAAACCTAGTGGTTTAGCTGCAAACTGGGGTGTAATACATTCAGCATTGTTATTATGGCTTATCTCTGGGTCTGAACCAAAGGGCTGTGTTCTGGTCCATCAGCGGACAGCGGAACTGGCAGCAGATTCGGATAGTGAGGAGATTGGGGAGGGACATGGGCCAATCCTGGAGTCTGGGGAAGGCTCTGATGAGGGCTCTGTGTGGGAGGCAGAGAGGGGGCCAGGGCTGTCTGACAGTTATCAGCTGCCTTCGGAGTCAAACATCAGTGAGGCAGATGAACAGCTGGAGCCTGTTCCCAGTGTGCGCATGCGCAGAGTTGCCAGACGAAGGGAACAGCTAAAGATACAGGGGTCGACTTGGGAGTAAGGCCACAGGTGGATGTTGAATGGTCCCTCCCAGAGGAAATAAA